ATGGGTTAAAAACAAATCTCATTCAATACTCACCTTTTTCTGCACAGTTGTTCCTTTTCGAAATACAGGCTTTGCGGAAGCTGGAGGTGGAGGAGGAGGTGGATGTTGCGGAGTTGCCTGAAATGAGATTTCTGATTATCAGATGATATGCAAACAGCAGTGTGCACATTTGTGACTAATCACTTTCTTCAATCAAGATTAAGTATGCATAAGATAAGCCTTGCAAGGTACAATTGTTGAAAAGAGGGCGAACATAGAAAATGCGTATCATCATAGGCAGTCCCGCGTTGCTAGCTTCATTTCAATTTGAGAGATTAAATTGGCACTACGTGGTCCTTTGCGCGCTGGAACTGACTGCAAAGCGAAAATACCGGAAACGAATTCCATATCAGAAAACACTGTTGACAAAAAGTGTTTGGAGAATTTCTAGAAGTATAGTTTTTTCCTGCAAACAAAATTCCCCAATGATATCTTAGCAAAACTGGGTCCTTGTTTGTACATCAAGGATAGCGACTGGAATATACAACGAATTATAGATTCTTCATTTGTTGATGGAGTTATGCTCAGGTAACGGTGAATGTCGTATACAGGATGCACTGGATTCGTTCTAGCTTCCTGGCGTAAGTGTTAAGGAGGTGTAGCAAACATGTTAGTTTGCAAAGAACTCTATGTTACAGAGGAGCAAAAATTAAGTTTTTGCGCATACTCTTGCTCATAACTGAATACTCATCTGGAACTACAAAAAATTGAGCCACGATCCTAGCCACGCCGTTTCGCGACGCTTTGCCTAGGAACAGTGGTTGTTTGCAGATTTGCAGCACCCTAAAGTATTAGTTGTAAAAATTGGACAAACCAATAAGATCAAGTGGTTATGATACTCGTAATCAGTATGATGACTAGCACCAACACAAATTTTCGGCAGCCTAACGCAAGAGGTGCAAGAAGTCAATGATTAACAAAACTAGTCGATATGGACTGTTCTTCCATTTCCCAATGTGCCAAGTTATGTGTGTGCAGTATAGTCCACATCGGCTCGAAGCAAAATCTCGAATTTAGCGCATACAAACGTACACAAACACAACGCGCTTTTCACATAAACTTCTACTCGAGTTTATTCGAGTATAAGATCGCTTAGAAGTAAGGTTGCCCGTAAACCGCGCGTAAATGCGCGTGACAAGGCAAAAATGTCAAAGTCGCCCATGAGGATATAACGTTTTCTTAGCATGATGGCGTACATATCATTGAAAGACCAATATAAACCAACACAACCGCAAGAGTTGTGCTAAACTCGTATTTGTCTTATGGAGAAACCATCGAAGAGGTGTTTTTCCTAACTGATTTGGTGTGAAGGCAAATCCAAAGGCTTCACTTATGGAAGAATGGATGAGAAATTATGGAAAATGAGAAGATGGGAAAGCCAAGTGGAAAAAGATCAGCGATGCTAAAAGTAGGATTTTGATGTGCCTCATTGACTTGCATTTATCATGTAATATCTTTGCAGTGTATCTGTGGGACGGGAGGGGAGGAAGAATTTAACGTAAGAGAGAAGGAATCGGTCTCAAATACGGTGAGGACGGTCTTATGCGAGGGTGGTCTTAAATATCTGTATGAATAAATTAACTTGAAACGCTGAATCCAAATTCGCCTTCCTTTTTGGAAGCGTTTCTCCAGAAGGTGGACGTTTTCTCTATCAAATGGCTTACAAGACTTGGATTAAAATGCTCTAAAGTTTAATCTTGATCCAAAATAGCAATGCAGAGGTTAAGTATAGTAGAACATGTTTTTATAAATAAGCTTTTGCTTTTTATTTTAGGCTGTTGTTATTAGAGCAAATACTGACAAGTTGCATGAGCCAACGCTAGCCCAGAAAGGCTCTAACTTTTTTCAGGGAATGCTGCCCAAATATGGAAGGCAGATTTAGAAACGGCGTTTCGAACTGCATACTACTATGCATCCTTTTTTGGATCGCAACTTTGAACCAGTATCAATCCCCTGTTAGAAAGTGTGGAAAACAGAGTCTGCGTTATTTGTCAGGTAAGCAACATTAAAAAAGATTTTGTCATATGTTAATGTTGTTCCCCTAAACTTGCATAGAGTTTTCGTATCAATGTCCTCACTAACTTTAGAAATCGCATAAAAATCCCAAAGACCTTATCATTTCCAAAAACAATTAATTTCTGCTTCTTTCGGAGAAAACTTACTTTTTTCTAGAGTCAACAATAATTCAGCGACTATAGATGTGCAAACGCTATGTGATGCATCGAAAGTCCTCCTATACTGTACATGATAACATTTGCACATCGACGACAATACCCACTCATGATTTCCCGTGTTTTGCTTTTAAAGTCAACAACCGCGAGTGCGTAATTAATTGTTCGTGGGAAGATGTGCCCTCGTCCTTGGTGAAAACGAAAAAATGGCGATGGCTAATGTGTTAAGGAACCTCGTCCTTCAAAAATTCCCTCATGCAATTTGGATTCTTGTTAGGATTTTAGTGCGCATTTCAAAAAAGCACGATTAATATCCTCCTAAAACATTTGCATTCTTCAAATATTGTTGTTACTAGCTTCTCCGCATTTTCGGTTCAGCGAAACAAAACTACATGTTTTCGTTAAACCCAATGATGGCAGCATGGGATTTTTTCAAATTAGTATAGACACAGGCAGATAGTTTCCATTTAACCAACTTGAGGGACAAAGCTTGTTGCCACAGTACGTAACGCCCATACGTCACCTTATAGAAAATCGCGACTTTTTAAAGTTTACCATGATTGGTTTTATAGCGGCATTTTTCCTTTCTCTCGACATTATAGCCATCGGTTTTTCTATCTTCGCCATGACCACGGGTCCAGCAGGTGTATTGCGAACGACGGGAGGCGGAGTTCGTCTAGGGCCAGGAGCTGCACTACGAACAATGGGAGACTGGGGTGATGCAGGCCGAGGCGCTGGAGTGGACGGAGCAGGCTTTCTCACGGCTCGTTCAGGTACACTAAAAGGGGCTCTTTTGATTGAATTCTTTTCAAAGTCAAAGGCGTAAACAATTACTTGTGTTTCTCAAAACGTTTTAGAATACAAGCGACATCCTTCATTACAGGTCGATTCAAAGGCTGAGCTGCCCAGCATGCTGTGACAACTATGCGAATCTCGTCCGGAAGATCATCGGAAAGAGGCGGCCGGAAAGTAGGATCAGAGAGCTGCAATAATACAACGAAAGTCGTGAAGGAGACTTGGATGCATATTTTTGAGTGTACAGTACTTACGCGAGCTCTCACAGTTTTGTTATCGTAGTCCGCAAAAGGCATTTTAGCGTCATTGAAGATTTCCCAAACAAGAATACCGTACGAGTAGACATCACATTCACGAGTGTATATGTGTGTTCTAACAACTTCTGGGGCTTGCCTAAAGTAGTTTTAGTTCAAATCAATGCCACAAAGCATTACGATATTCATTTTCTTACAGATATTACAAGCAAAAAGATAGAAAATACTAATATTGCATTAGAAATTCACCACTTTGTTGGGATTTTCTCATTTGCCTGTATTTTGTAAGAGTCTGCCTGCTTCGACAAGCCAAAGTCCGTTATCTTGACTATGTTTTTTTGAGTATCAATCAAACAATTTCTGCACGCCAAATCCCTCAAAATATAGTTGGGCATTATTTGTTAAATGTTGTGCAAAATTTTCTTATAAGCTGAATCACACCAATCGAGTAATAATTTTGGAGGGAAGTTTGGATGGTATTCATGACTTGCTAGCGCAAGATCTCGAGAAGGCATTCGCCCGAGTTTTTTGTTGTGTCTCAAGCAGAGTATGTAAAATATAATTCTAAGTTTACGATCTTTTTCAGTCTGCAATTATATGATGCCAGTATCAACTGGTGTACCACGATGGCCTTCAAGATGGATTTTCTTCGCCTTTTAATCTGATATCATTTGTTGTAAGAAAACAGTGGTGCATTAGATATGTCTCAAGATTTCCCTTTTTTGCATAAAAGCAGCCACTCATCAAGCTCACAACGCAGAAATGATTCAAAAGAACCGCTAGAACCTCTAAAATCTAGGGCTTTCATGTATCCCATTTTTCCTTCGCTTAATTCACGCGTATCCATATTTTTGCTGTGGCAAGGTATGCAACAAAATGTCAGTCGGTCGCTTGAGTGTTTTCCTCTTTATGTAGATTTATTCAAC